AATGCCAGTGTCCCACCTAACTGAAAACCACTTTATTTTATTCAGATCTTAGCAGCTTGGCATACTTCTAATATCTGAAATAACTATCTTTGAATGTTAATCTTTTTAACCAAATACTATAGAGAAAATACAGGACACTGCGATGTAATGCAAGACATTTAAAGCAAGCACCCATAGTTGCCTGACCTGTTGTAACCATTTTGATAGCAAGAACTAAGTGTATAAGTTTAACAGATTTTTAGTTTACTTATGATTAAGCTCACTTACATTTCACAGTGTGATTGAAATATTTTCGTTTGGTGCTTAGTAACTTTTGTGTATGGTTGGGAAGGTATGTCCAGATTGCATAAATAATGAAATGCAGATATTAAGTTATCAAATCACTGCTCTGTGTTTCCAAACATATCAAATCCAAAATATAAATAGAAACAAAAAATCATCATCATGAAACGACCATAAATTAGGTTTTACAGACTGTTTCTATTGGTTTTTTACAGTAGTCTTAGTAGATAATTAGTCTTCCAAGTGTTCCTGCTGTTGCCACCTCCTTAGTGGTCTGCCTCTATTCCTGATCCCTCTTGGTTTGTACTTTCAGATTAATTTTGTCAAACTGTTGTTGTCCATCCTCTGTAAATGATCATTCCATCTCCTTTGTTCTATCTCCTCTACTAAACCTTTGGTTGTCATTTTGTTTTGGTGTCCATGTCTCTGCCTACGTGTCTACTTTTTCCACTAACATTCCATTTATTACTACTCTTGTTCTCCTTTGTTCCTTGCCTTGTATTGCCATAACTTTTGTTTTCTGAACTGCGGTCTTCATGGAATATTCTTGGTCCACTTTTGTCAATTCAAAAACTGCTCTTTGTAAATTATATTCAGAATCTATTACGAAAGTTTGATCATCAGCATACAAGATCGTTTTATCGTCATGTTTTGTGATCTGTAATCCTTGTCCAACTTTCCTTCTCCCATTTCTCACCAACTGATGAATAGATATGTTGGAAGAGGATCCTCATCCTTGCCTTAAGTCATTGTTGGTTGTTACTGCTGCTGACTTTCTTCCCTCTCTTAACAGTATTTTAATTCTTGAGTACTTGTACAGACTTTGTATTGCATTGAGCAACTAATTTGGAACTTCTCTTCTAGTATTTTCTAGAGTTTCTGTGTAAAAATTTGTCATAAGTCTTGTCTTAATCATTAAATATTATAAAAGTTGGTAGATTCCTTCCTTTCTTTTGTCCATGAACTTATGCAATGTAAAGATGGCATCTTTAGTGCTTCTACCCTTTTGGAATCCACACTGCTTTTCTCCCATATTTCATTGAGTCTGTTCCTCAGCATGTTTGCATGTAGATTAGATGATGTTGATAGCAATGTAATGCTCCTACATTTGTCACAGACTTTCTTTGAATATTAATAACCCAACTCTCTTGCCACTCTATTGGAATTGCTTTCTCTTGCCGTACTTTGTTAAAAAATTCTAATAACATTTCTTTCAGCTCCTTTCCTCCATATCTTACGAGTTCTATACTCAAAGAGTTGTCTAGTTCATCATTGTCAGAGATTTGGCTTGTTCCTTCCAGCACTTCGTTACATCTGAGTTGGATTGTTCCACAGGGTGGAAAAGTGTTTTATCCAGTTTTCTTCTGGCATGCCTTCTAGTCTTATTTTATCTTTTAAATTAATGTTCAGCAGTTTGAAACCTATTTGTTTAGGGCCTGAAACATATTTCTATGCTTTTAACATATTTTCTCCAGCCCTCTCACCTATCTTACTGACGCATCTCACTTTAGCCCATAATCTTTTACATTCTGTGTAGATTTTCAGTTTGTTTTTGGAGATAAGTTCTATATGTTTTCTTCTTTTGATTTATCATGTCTTTTAGATCATTATCCCACGTTCTCAACCATTTAGTTTTCTTGAAAGGTTTATAGCTTGCACTCTCTTTACCTGTTTCAATCATTGCTTGTTTAAGTGAACTCCAAAATGTCTCAATATTTTGTTTCTCAACCTTCTGTAGTTTTTCTCAGTTTCTTTCACTTAATGTTCTGATACTTTCATGTTCAAAAAGAAATATTTTGAGTTTTGAGAGTGTTTTATTACTATTTTTCTTAGTTTTTGTTTGATATATTGTGAATTTAATTTTGCTCTCTATCAAATAGTGGCCTGCGTATATTTCACATCCTCAAAATACTTAAGTGTTCTTGACATTATTAAATACGTTTCTTCTATTAGTTGAGTATGAATCTTGTGCCTCTTACTTCCCAAGTGAATTTGTGTGTGTGTGTTTTTTTTCTTTTTTTTTATGCTTGAAAAAACATGTTATGCATTTCTCCATTCTCATTTATTGTTTCTTCTCCTTCTGGGCCTTTGCATGGAGGTATTTCATTATCACCAATTCTGGCATTAAAGTCTAATGAGTAGTACATTTTTATTTACTTGGTCTACCAGCTGTTGTAGATCTTTGTAGAAACAGTGAAGATTCTCCTACCCTTCCTTCAACTGGAGCATAGACTCCAATTATATTTAGTTTGTGTTTGCTCACTTTTAATTTCATCGTTATCAGTTTTGGGGATATCCAGTTATATTCGTCTATGGAATCTTTCCACATCTACTATTAAAGCTACTTCTGCTGCAGCATGTTCTCCTTCCTCTATTCTTTAGACGTTTCTTTTTTTTTCATTTCAGTAACAACAGTTATGCCTAGCTTTCTTTTCGTAAGATCCAAGTTTAATTCCATTTCTTTGTGGACCAATCCTCTCACATTTTGTCCCCACTTTTAGCAGGGTATTAGTTGCATCCTCCTCAGTGTTTTTGTTTTATTATTGGAAGTTTTCTAAAATTTGCTGTCTTGATTTCCCTGGGGTGAACACAAAATCAAAATGGGCGAATTAACACTCCTTGGGGGCAAGTTTGAATGTTGGAGTGTTTCCAACCCTTCCTATGAATAACCAACCAGTTTTTTGACCTGCTTGGAATAAACCTTGGGTTGGTTTTGAAACAAAAATAAAACAAATATGATAGTAATAATAATGTAAATAATATGGTTATTAGAAGAAACAGAACTAGAAATGGTATTGGAAAGTAAATGGAACAGTGATTGGCCACTTAAAAGAGTTATGTCAGTATTAACGCATTTAAAAAGTAAAATTTTGAAAATTTGCTAATAACTTTCTGTCTAATTATTCTTTTACTTATCCCCACTTTAATTTGCATCAGAAAACGAACATTAAGTTATTAATTATTTTTTTAATAAAAACGTGCCATTTTGCAAAGTGATTGGCCCAACACAACTGGTATAATGATATACTCAATTAATTATATTACCAATTACAACACACAATTTGAAAGATACAGTTTTAATATATCTTTACCATTTTATATAAATGCTGTTAGGGTAACTTTCAGTATCCTCAATATTCAAATCTGACCATTCTCGACTCAGTGACTCTTCTCCTATATAGACCCCTTGTAGGATCATTTATTTCGCCACCCACCAACTTTCACGTATCCACCTAACAAGCCTGACTTCTTGTTTAGATAATACAGTATCAGGACCTAAAGCTGTTTTATGATCTGGATTGTTTAAATGAAATTTCAAACTTGTTCTGGTAATACCAAATGAGTTTGCAGCAGAAAGCACAATGTCCTGCTATTTTTAACATGTTTGATGACATTTGCAGTGGTTTCTGCATCATACACCAGTTTCGGCTTCTTTGGCATTGTAAGATCACTTATTTTAGACCCATGCAGGATAAACCTGTGTGCAACAATAATAAACTTTAATTAAAAACAATCTGGCAACAATCATTAGCAGTGGCCAATAACACACTATCGAAGATACAGTCATTGGTCACCCCCCCCCCCATGTCACTAAAAATGCAAAGCTGGGCTTTTAATTTTTAGCTGATATCATTAACACTCAATAAGATTAGTGTTTTATGACATATCAATGTGATTTACTTACCACTGTAATCAACAACCAGCACAGTTGCATATCAGATTTCTAAAGAAAATCTTAATAAAGCTTTACTTACAATGAACACATATCTCAATGCTAACAAACATTTGCAATATTGACAATAGTTACACTCTTGTGGTCAAAGTAAATAATATATTATACTCAGAAAGCATTCCTTTGCACCATTAATAAGCAAAATATTAGAACATGGTGATAGAACAAACAGAAATTTAAATTATATTTGGAGTGGCCTATCAATGTATCATTTATCCTATATGTATTGAAATTTGAATTTGTTGCTGATTTTCCAGGTCGCATCACTAGGTTTGCTAGTGACCTGTATTGTCTACATAATATTTGTTTTAACTACCACGAGAGTTATTGAAATAACACAATAGCCATCAGCATAACTACAAACAAAATATTACAGTACTTGTTTAGCAATTCAACCAACAACTCTTTGCAATTTTGATGTTGCCTTTCCTGACTGGAACCCCTAATGAAAGTTTCTTGGTAAAAGGTAGGAAGTCAATGTCCTATATTTTGTCCACATATACCACATTTACCTGAATATAAGTTGACCCCGTAATTCTGGAGGCCACCTGAGATTTTTGTTGTAGAATTTTTAACTAATTCTTACTATTTAGGCAAAATAAAATAGCAAATAGACTAATACACAAGAAAATTTCCTTGTTCATGAAAATGTTAAATTTATTGCCTAAGCTCTTTTCTTGATCCTTAGAAATCATCATAATCATATTTTTTGTCACAATCCTCATCACCTTCTCAGTATCATTGTTTCTTTTTGGTCCTCCTCCTGCACTATTTTAACTCTCTGAAAGTTCAGCGCATTGAATTTTCATTCCTAGTCTTTCATCTCACATCAAATAAGAATATTCCCTTCTATGTCATCAGATTTTTATCCTGCCTGCTCGTTTGTAACCTCCCATTTTAAAAGTTCTTTTAAATATTTTTACATAATATACTTGCAATTCGCTAAGGGTTTGCATGGCCTTGCTGATTATAAAACAAAATCTCAGCAATGATTTTTATTCATTTTCATGTTTTGTTTCACTAGACACAATTCCAATCTGAGATTCTCATTTTACTGGCTCCTTCAAAAATATCAGACTGAATTGGTGCGCAAATTTGCAGAGAATGCAAAGGTGAATTTCTGTGAATATAATTAGTTATTATAGATATGTGTAGTATTTTTATTGACTTAGCAGCTTTTTGTTACTTCAACATTCATGAGATTTGCAACATGGAAAGACAATGTAAAACACAAATTTTAACAGAGAAGGCTTATGCAGGAAATTTAACGAACCTCCATATTTCTCAAATGAGATACTGCAGCAAAAGTAGACTTATATGCAGGTAAATACAGTACATTTACATTTCACCATAAAATAAAAATTTTGAAATAAAGATTCCTCAGCACTATCCGAAACATCTTAAATTTTTGCTCACTAAACCAAATTATTGTTTCATCACACTTAAATAATATTAAGATGTAGCCTCAGACAATTAGGATTACAGGAAGTGTAACAACCACATTGCAACAATTTCACCTAATATGTTAAATTTAATTAAAAAATCCAAACATTTTTTCCACACTAGTACGCAAATAAGTCCACACGTTTTTATGTTTTCTCTACATATAATTTAGTCTTAATTTTTATCACACCATGATTTTTAGGTACAGATTAAATACACCTCAGTAACTGTTACTGGCACTTTATTGAAAATAAATATATCTTATAATTCATATACAAGGAATGATTCATTTGTGATCTAGTCCAACAAAAAAGGGCCAAGTCCATTATGATTCAGTGCTAATAACCATCTTGTATTTTGATGATAAAATGCTTATACAAGAAGGTCCTGTTTGTGCAGTTAACAGTACATAATCTGCAATTATGATGGTGGGGCTGTGGAATACAGTTGTGAATCCACATATACGAAAATAATAAAATCAACACCACTGCCTGTATGTTAGTTTACTTTAAGGATTACAATTAATACTGACAAAAACACCATTTTCAGTTTGTTTCAGCACATATTTACAACTTTATATAAATCAGATCTTCAGTACTATAGATATTTAAAATGTCTGCTTGCACATTTCCCCATGCTGGTAGTCATCTGGATCACAGGTGATCAGTACTTACTCATCACAACATGATCTTTAATGTTCCAATGATTCCATTATTCTTGAAACAACTATATCACCACACAACAAGCTACTTCTACAAATGAACCGAACCCTCACTGCAAACATTATGCAACATTGTCAAGCATTATTGGACGTAAGTAAACTTACATTATCTGAGCACAATAATGCACAATGATTCACAAAACACACACTTAATTCTAGGTGTTTTTTGTCAGATTTCACAAATAAAGTCTCTGTACAATATACATTTACATCTGCACACAAATATATTAAGTTCCATATAAACAAAGCTCTTTTCAGATATATTTGAACCAAACGATTCCTTGTCCTTGATAAAAAGGAAGGCAAAAATCATATCCAACACCTTTATACAATTTTCTCTGTAAAATTTGAATAATTTTACAAAGTACATCCCGTAAACAATCAGATTTGCTCAAGACTTTCACTAATCACAAGTTCTTGAACTTATCCTCTTCCACATATACACAAAACTTGACAATCCATATTATGTACAACACATACACATTTCTACACACAGCACATCCACTACTATGAATTAGGTGGAGGTCTCCTGTCATAATCCCTTCTGTAGTCTCTCTCTTTTCCTCTCCATTCAGGAAAATTTCCTCCTGGACCTCCAACCATTGGTCCAGGGAACCTTTCTCGTGGAAAGTGGGAAGATGGTGGAATGTCACCAGGGGGATATGATCCAGGCCCCATAGGATATGATGACTGAGGGCCATAATGTCCACCGTAATTAGATGGGCCTTGATGAAACCTGAACAGGAAATAAAATAATAAAATTCTGATTCTGCATAAAAATTCTAACTCTTATTACGCTCCACAACATTTAGATTTCTAATCCACAAATTAATAGTGTCAATTAGAACAAGGTAGGTATTTTTCAAGGAATTATTAAAATCTTTAGAGATTAGATATATTGTATTGTATAACATTCTTAATGCCAATCAAACCTAATTTATCTACCAATTAATTTAATAGCCATTATTATAAGATTAATTACATACATTTCACCTTGTTGCCCAGGCTATTTATTGACTGCCTATTGTCCTCTGAATAAGATTACAGGTAAATAATTACACCAGAAAATAAGATGCAAGCAGTTTTCTATACATAATCTGGTATGAAGTAGTTTGAAAGGGAAATTCTTGAAGTGAATTTTTCGCACAACATGGACTTTCAATCAACAAAGAAAATTGGTTTCGCAGACACTCTGGAATATAATGGAACCTTAGGGACAGAAAAATCTTGACCAATTGTAATAAAATATTTAAAAGTCCCCCCCTATTAAATGCATTTCTTATCACTATCATTATTATTATTATTGTTATTATTATTATTAATAAAAACTAGGTCTACAACACCACATACTTTCTTTTACTGCTGGTAATGACATTATAATACTGCTACTTCTACCCTATTAGCACTTACATCTTTCACATGCATAACTTACAACCAAACCCAGTGCAATGGGATCAATTATAAAATGATGTTATTGATGGTATTAATACAAGAGTGTGATATTATGATACATGCAAGGAACAAGCTCGTATTGTTAACTTACCCATTACATCAAGTTTCACATGGTACTTTTTTTACAACTTAGGTAACTTATATTGAATCGTTTCATGGCAGTTGACATGCAGGATTGAACCAAGGACACCTAGTGGACAGCTCCGTTACCCTACCCTACACTGTTGCAGGTGGCTTTGGTTATCAGTCCACGCAAAAGGAATTACTGCGATAGTCAAATAGGATCAAAGTGAAATTACGATCTAATTAATTTTAAATAATATTCCACATAAAAAATTACTACTAATAAAAGAAAGTACCTGATTAGCATAATATGATATTAAATGCAATTTTAGTGCACACAATGAAAAGAAAAATTTACAATAATGATTCTCAATGATTAATTTGTCAATACTTGGTTTAACTTCTCTGTGATTGGTCAAGAACCTGTATCATAATGCAACTGTTGCAACAATCAAATGACAGAATTATACAATGGGAGTAGAAAAACTCAATTAATATATAGCAGATTGAAATGGCACAAGACAACATTTCTTTGGGAGTATCCAAACTAAATGTCTTATTTCATATGAATTCCTCTACTCTGTAGGGAGAAAGTAAAAATTGAATACAAATGGTTTAAAATTAACTTTTGTATTAGACATGACTTTACCTGCACTTTTACTCACTGTGACATATTAGTGCTTTGGACATACCCTTTCTCTTATGAATTAACTCTACTTAAATTCCTTATTATATAAATAACTTTTAAACAAAGAAAATATGCTGACAAGGGAATGGACAGTAATAACACCAAAACAAACATGTCTTGATTTTTCTTTTTCGTGATGGTTGGGATTACATGTAAGTTTTAGCTGCCTAAACAAATTGTAATAATAATAATAATAATAATAATAATAATAAAAAAAAGAAGAAGAAGAAAGATACAATTCCTTATTTATGATATGTATTTTTGGCTCCTGAAACTTGCTTTCTTATGATTGAACAAAACTGCTCAAATTGAATTGAAATGGCTTAGGTCATAAAGGAGAGCAATTAGCAGTAGATACCGTCAGACGGGTGTCCAAATCAAAATATTTTTAATTATATTAAGAGTAATTTCTAGTCTGTTTCAACAGCTATTTTTTTTTCCATATTAACATGTGGGGAAAGAGAAGTAGTAGTAGTAATAAGAAGAAAAAGACAAAGAAAACGAAGAAGAACAAGAAGAAAAAATGAAGAAAAAAAGGAAAATAAAAAAATATATATATATAAAAAAAAATCAAAAAAAATCATGTTTTCAATGAAGAAATATTTACGAGAAATTCCATTTTGTTAATAACAAACAATGACACAACAAAAATAGTGACAAACAGAACGTAGGAAAAACAACAGTAGGGGAATTAAGAGATTCTGGCAAGAGAAGAAAGCAAATGCACATACTATATATGCCAAATTCGGCCAAACTAAAAAAATATTACTAAAGATAAACTAGATTTTAGTACTTAATGCAGATTCCCAATTCTTCATCAACATGATCAACATTTTCTCACCTTCTTTTGTCCATCATACGATGATTTCTATCTCTGTGGTAACTGCCAGAACCTGAACTTGTACTTTGCATTCTCTGATATCCATCAAATCTTTCTCTTGGGTGATCTTTACCAAACCTGCAGGGAATGAAAATGAAAGGCACGTGAAAGGTTATGATCTTAACACCAATTCCACAAAGTACTCACAGGCACATCAAGGCATTTACATGTATTATTTCATTTCATTCAATTGCTCTTCGAATAAATGAATTATTAATCACTTTCACTTTTTTTTTATGTTCATGCAATCTGAAAATGGAAGAAATAAGAACTTTTACCCTCTGTTTTATTAAGCAGCAAATTTCTCAGAAATATTACAATATGAGGGCAGCCAACATATTCATGGGCTGGAATTCTGACAATTCCATGAATTTCCTAATGAATTTTGATTTGTTGTTGTTGTGGAAGTTCACACCTCTATTTTAGAAATGTTTAGAAAGAGAATTTGATATTTTAAGTTGTAAGAGCATAGCCACTTAATAAACACATTCCATTTTTAAAGTCAGGGAGGACATTTGAAGATTGAATGGGCAAACTCAACACAGGAGTCTTTACTTTTGTTCCCTTGCTACTTTTCCGATCATGCTAAATGCAATTTAACATCAGGGTAGCCATAAATACAGCAGGTTTACTTTGAAAATGGAATTTAAAAGCAAAATTTGTCAAACTAATCAGACACCCAGAAAGTTGGCCACCCTGAAACTCTCTTCTATTATATGCTGTTAAAACAATACATATTTGGTTGTTTGCTTCATCATACCATACTGAATTAAGGTTTTAGAAAATCGATGTTAAAAAAAAAAAAAAAAAGAGAAAACACCCAACCAAAATTGTAGTGATTATAAAAATATCATTCTTACTGCTAAATAGATACAGTTATTAATTTATAGTTCATTTTAAGGGAATGATACATCTTATTTCCCTTACTTTTTCTCCTAATGTTTCTCATCTTCACACATTTGGTTTCAAAATGTTTCATTTACAACCCTATTTCTGGAGGGGAAAAAAATGATATTTTCTAAATTTCATTAAAAAACTTAGATTCACTCATAAATATTGCTTTAAAGCAAGTATTATAGCAGCATGCACAATATACTTACTGCAATTAATTAAAATGTAGGTTTATATGTCTTTTATTTAACAATGTGCCAGGGTTATAAAACAAAATAACTCCAGAAAGATTAACGTACATTACTCGTATCTCTTGTGACTCAATCCTTCAAAGATTGGCCAGTTTCAATTCACGAAGATTTTTGTTCCCATATCAAATTGTACATTAGTACTTAATGTAGAGAGGAAAAAATAAAAACACCACCAAATTTACATATTTTTCAGTTTGAAAAGTAATGAAAGATGAAGGTAATATTAAAGATATACTGAGAACCACTCTTTAATTTGATGCTTGATCTAAATAGGTTTGTACAGGAAAACTCAATTCCCAAATTCTACGTATTTATGTATATATCACATATATTATGTATTCTCAGGCAATAACTTTTATACCAGAGTTCCTTTTAACATGTCCAGGTTCCACTACAGAATCTCACATTACCATAGATAGTTTGTACTACAGATAGATGACATCGGAATCATGTTTCACTAGCTTTGAAATCTCTTTCTATTTCTTCTATAGGCTCATAAAAGTGGTCTGTCTAAACTCACTCTAAGTTCATGCCTGAAAATACCTACAAAATAGTCACCAGTTTCAGTTTGCCTTTTACATTTGAGATATTAAAGTAAATTTTCTTACCTGTCCCTTGACTGTGAACCACTAGGCCAACGATCTACATCTGCAGCCATCGCTCCACCTGGATGTCTACCTCCATGAGGACTTGTACCAGATCTCTCACTTCCAGGTGGAAAATCATGGCGTCCAGCATAAGGTGTTTGGTGACCACTATTCTTCTGAGGTGTGGTAGGTCCATTGACATCCCTATTTCTTTGAGGTGTTGAGACATGGCTACCCTCACTATCTCGCCGTACCCTCATTCCTTCTTTACTTCTATCTCTCTCTCTTTCTCGTTCCCTGTCGTGGTCTCGATCCTTTTCTCGAGATGTTGCCCGACTTTGCTCCCTTTCACTGTTCTTTTTACTTCTTTCTTTATCTCGATTCTTCTCTTCTTTGTCATGGGTGCGGCTGATAAAAAAAAAATTATAAATTATATACAACACATCATACCCAAATGGCACTAAATTCCAAATTAAAGAACCAAAACAGTTTAAAAAAAAATAGGATTTCAACTTCTGAGGAGATATCAAGATCACAAAGAAAGGAGCGGGGAGAAAAGAAAAAAGAGAAAGCAAATTAGGGCAGTAAGCAATTGTTATCTTCCTTTTTAAAATGTTATAAATAGTATAATCCTTTAATTGGGAATGCTGTCTAAACTGTGATTTTCTTACAACCACGTGACATCCTATACAGTACTTGTGCTGTACCTTGAGTATTTTTTTTAAACTGGACACTTTTTCAGGTTATCAATGCTGTCAATCATATCCTTTCAAAAAGCAATCTAATTTTATAATTTATAGCCTCTGAAGCTACAATTGCTGATAGCAACTATTGAGGGTTATTGTTGTTGTTGTTGTTATTATTATTATTATTATTATTATTATTACATGCACAATTTTAAAACTTGGGCCTGTTGAGAAAATGTTTTTTAATTGTTACAATTTTGCTTAAAAGTAGGAGAATATCACATTATTTAATTATCCAATTTTAAAATACATTTCATTAATCAAAATTGTAATAGCTACAGAGCATTGATAATTTTTTTAATCATCTCTCAAAAAGTCAGAGAATTTAGCAAAAAATGGACCTGCACAATTTTTAGGACTAGGCTCAAGCAAAAAATTTGGAAAAACTGTGATATTTTCTTAATCCACAGTAAACCTACACATCACAATGACATTTAAAATTTGTAGCAAAAGCGACAATGGTCAAAATCCTCAAAACCACATCCCTAAATAAACACCCTTCTCAAAAAATTCACCACTTCTACAGGAAGTACTGTAGAAAACAATATTACAAGAACATTTACAAAGTAGTTTACATTTGTTGCTGTAATATTGATATCATAGATTTTGTGTTTGATCAAATATCTATATTTTATAAAGGCTGTAAATCCTCAATATTAATCGAATGAAGATTTCTAAAAATTATCACATGTATTTAATTTGCATGATTGATTACATCCAGAATGTCTCGGGTATATATAATAATATGCTTGAGAGATTAGTTCTTCCTTAAAAATCAGAGTATTCCCATGATGTTTCTCAACGACTGATACACTAATTTAAAGCCTTAATTCATATTATATTATATACTGTGTGATAACAGTACACTAGAGAGAATTTGAAATTTACAGAACTATAATATAATATATTTAAAAAATGAACTTAAATGAGTATTTTCTGGCACTTAAAATAAGCTTTACTTACTCCCTAATTATATGTTTTTTCTTTCTTTTTCCCCTAGGGCTTTTATTCCATCAACAGCCAGTTTCCCTTGTCCTGATGGAACGCACATTCGACGATACACTAGACACCAACACACTTACAGTCTCCTCTGATCTGGGGTCAGCAGAACGCGAAGCCCTCTGTGACAACACATGCATGGGAGGCAAGGGACAAACAACCATGCCCTAAGCCGGGACTCAAACCCTCAACCCTTCGGATCAAAGCGCTGAGTCAGTACACGCTCTCAGCCATTCAAGTTGGCCCTAATTATATCTTACAGTATTTAATTTTCAAAACGATTGTCAACTATCTCCACTCAGAGAAGATATAAAATTTGTAATTAAAATAAAAAATTGAAATTTTTGGAGTGCCTCTAGTTAAAATCATCGGTAAGTTACGGTAATTGGTATATCTTTTTATTAAATGAACTTTCTCCTACATACAATAAGCAATTTACTGAAAAACATTGGAAAGGGTTTTGAGAATACTTTTTTGAAAATGCAATATGAACTTTACTCTCTCAAAAGTACAAGATTTCTTTAAACTTTACTAGGCCTCCAGTTCAAACTCATTGATGGCAAACATTAATTTTCAAAACTCTCCTACATGCTCTAGTTGTTTATCACAGGACAGAAACGCAAAGCAACATTTCTGTCAAAATCTTTTAGATTCATTTTTGGGACAATTACATAAAGAAGAACCCTGCTTTTATACTCTTAAAATTTATTTTCCTACCATTTATGCATATTTTCTTTGATCCCTTCAATTCCTGCGATCATTATGTAAATCTGACCCTGTTTTTACACATTCAAAATTACAATTTCCCACATTTTACCCTTTTTCCCTCCTAACAGTGCAAGCACAAGGGAGAATAGGATGGTTTCTTTGTTTGTTCCCACCAAATTCTACAAATATTTAACTGTTTGTAATAAGGGAAAATCAGAATTATGCAGTATTGTTCTGGGCTAGGTATTATCACTATAAATTCAATTTTCTAAATAAGAGATTGTGTAGCAAGTTGCATAAATTTTAGAAATGTTTCACATATTGCCTATGTATTGCTTGAAATAAGAGACTAAACTAGACGAAGACTATGCACTTCGCTATTATCACAGCTAGTAATAACGTCAAGCGCCTCTCACAAGTATCTTTTCTTGGAAGTTCCAAAAATGTTTTCTTTCTCTTAGATACAATATAATGTTTGTTTACTTTCTTACATACTACTTACAAGTAGAGAGAAAGATTTGAAACACTGCAGCAAAAAAATTTAAGTCAGTTTTCAAAAGTAAAATTCGTATTGTGAGCTCCTTATACTGAAAAAGTGGGAAAATCTTGTTACTATAAGTACTAAATAACTTCATCTATCATGTTATGTAGTCAGAATTCAATATTCAGTGTCAATATTGAAGAGAGATTTTTTTCTTAATTAAGTCTGTTCTGCAAAAGTAGATCTTTACATGAAGTCTGGTACAATTTGTTCAATTTGTTGAAAATTAGAGTAGTTTCACATAATTTTGGCAAATCTTAGAAATTGCAAATTCAAATTCCCCAGGCTTCTTTTGCTGAAGGGTGTATTTCACAAGATAGCTGAAAATTTAGTACTACATATGCGGTGTTGTGTACCATGTTTTGAAAATAGGCCTATAAGTAGTTTTCTTGTAATTGTTTATTTCATATCAGGTTGCACTAAAAGAATGGCAACACCATGAGATGGCAGTTCTTAGAATTACTTTTCATTGGGAAGAGATAATGTATACATTTTGCGGTAGTTGAATTTGTTTTCTGTATGAAGCTTCATAAGTTTTGCACCTCATGTGTTATGATTGTAATGAATTTTACAAATGATGACAAACTTTATCATATGGACACACACTGGGGCAATATATTACATAACATAACATAAAGGGAGGAAAACAACAACAACTAACAAAACACACCCGCCATACAATTAGGGTATTTTCAAATGCAAAGCTTAAGAAATTTTCCATAATAAAAAAAAAAAATTAAATGTAAAATTTGAATGATTTATCATTAAAGGCTATTAACATACTTAGCAAGGTTAAGAGTATTATTACTATGGAGGCCAAAAGCTAAAAATTGAGGTTTTCAATTCGGACAGTAAGAACACTTAACATTTTGTGTTACAAGTAGATTAAGATGGGCTTATTTTTCAACTTATCAAAAATTGAGCTCCCACCCCCCTATTTTGTTCTAATTAAGAAAAAAAATGATCCAAAGAAAATATTAGGTCAACTGCATTGCTCCAAGAAGACCCCCATCGGCCATGAAGTTTTTAATTTTTGCTATGTGAATTTTGTTAAGAGTTTTTTAATTTTTATTATAGTATTGATATGTGATAGTGATGATGATGATGATGACGATGATGATAATGATAATAATAATAGCTTACTTCCACTGAAATTACTTCCATTGAAAATTCATTGAATCATAATGTCAAATCTTTTTGAAGTTATGGTAATAAACCTAAGCCAGGGCATGAATTGCCTAACTTGATGAAACTCGATAATGTTGTCGGTACTCAAGGTGTTGATAGAGTGAACTTATTGGTTAATCATTTTGAAGGTTGTTACTCTGCAGCTCAGAATTATCATAGTTTATCGTGACACATTGACTGAAGTTGTACTGTTATGGATGACATAACTGAATTTGATCTAATTATAATACCTACAATGATGTTGAATAAGCTTTTAAAACTGAAAAATACTTATAACACTGGCCCTATGGTATTTCTGAAAAAACTTTGGAAGATTTATATGAAGATACGAAACATGTTCCAAATATTCACAAAACTCTAGCAGTTTTTTCTTGATCTCTGGTTTCCATCCTTTTCATTTTTTTGTATTACTTAAAATGCAATTCCCTCTACTTAAACAAAAGTTTAAAGAAAAAATTTGCAGCCTTTTTCAGAATATTTTGAAAATGTCACATGGTCTATATGAAAAGTACCCCTAAAATTAAAATATGAAATCATTCCCAGAACAGCAAATCTAGAGCTTATTCCTGATGTGTGCAAGATCAAAATCTTGTAATCTGAACGAGTTATGTGTGTCGCATATTCCATAATCACCCAAATTTTTGGGCACAAAACTGCGAGTACCTTCTCACCTCAGCACCATTCTTAACAGCAGCAATAAAAGCAAATAATACGAAACATCGAAACTGCAATTAGCACTTTAATGATAATTCGGTTCAAAGGTAATAACTAGAAAATATAATTTATTCGGTATATTTTTCATATGCATTACCTGGATTCTGAAGATTGATACAATTTTTTATTTGGAGACTGGGATTCAGTTTCCCTATCCTCATCCAGTTTCCGTTTATTTGTAGCCTTACTATGACCTGCATCTTTTGAATCTCGAGAGATCTACAACGTGAAAGCAAAAGATGTAATTTTTACAAATGTTGCATTACAATCACTTTTGTGATGTTAAAAAAAATACCATCCAAAATGATACTTACTTCCTCCTTTTCTGTTTTTTCAAGCTTAGGCTTTTTCTCTGGTACTTTACGTTCCTGATCTTTTTTAACTGCATGTTTATATAACTTAAATAACTTCTTTGCATCAAACACAGTAAATTTTGATACAAAATACCAAAGGTTGCTCCTCCATTCTTTAATCTGGTCAGGATCTTTATACTCTGTCAAGCAATGATTAATTTGATCCCCAATTTGAAGCAAACATTGTCTTGTGTAAACTAATTGCTCTTGTTCTGACAGCTGGCTATCAGGACTGTCCAATGCCTTCAGAGCTTTTTTAACTGGTCGCATCTTCTCTTTACACTGAAAAATAAACCAAAAGTACTAATAAATAACTGAAGCTCACCTTTTGAAAATAATTCCCTACAACAACATTATAACAGAAATTAACACATCAACTTAGAATTAAGTAAGTATTCATCTTACAAGTATCAAATACATTCCATTCATCCCATGAATTTAACTTAAATTCAAACAATATGATCCAAATTCCTTAATAAAATACCTCATTAAAAACTGCAGGATCCAAATCACCAATAATTTCCAATGCACGTGGTTCACTATTAGCAGTAAAGTGCATGGGTCCCGTTGTTTGTTGCTTTTTCTTCTTTTTAGACTCTTTCTTTTCTTTTTTCTCCTTCTTTTCTTTCTTTTTATCTTTTTTATCGTCTTTGGAAATATCTTTCTCTTTCTCATCATCTTCACTTTTGCCATCTTCAGCTTCAGATTTTGGTTTTGCAGGTTTTTCTATAGGTGGTTTCTTTGGTGGTTTTTTGACTGGAGCTGGCAGAGTACTTACAGATGTATTTGTATTATCTTCATTTGAACTTAAACCATCTTCCACAATGGCAGCAGTAAGAGGAACTTTTTCTTTTGAGGTATTTGCCTTTTTCCTTTCTCGCCTAGGCTTTGCAGCACCATTGACCTGGACAATAAAAAATGATTTGCAATAATTGAACATATTGTTAGAAGTTTAATAATTATGGATTTCTCTGTCTAAATCTTCATCCTATGAAAATCTGTCAGTTTTAATGTTATTCATAAACCATTAAATCTTTACAGTGAACCAAGTGGTCCTAATGAGGCCAATATAAAATAATACACTCAGAAACAATAATTAATCAGAAAACTAATTATACGGTGACAATGTGAAACAAAAACATACCTGTCTACCAGACTTAGGACCTGTGCCATCCAGTTGCCTTTGTAAAATTCGTAATAAATAATCTGCACGCTGTTGCAAATGCTTTGCTTGCGGCTTTTTGTCTTCATTTGCCAAAATTTTATCAGCTATACCCAACGAAGGATCCATTTTGATAGCTTCCCATGAACCTAGGCCATACTGATAAACTCCTTCAAGCAATCTTGAGTCATCAGCAAGAGTCCATTCAACATCAAAATTTGCTGGTTTTACCCTACAACATTATTTATTTGATGGAAAAGGTGCAAATACTATTGGCCATTTAATGAAATAATGCATTTTTGGGCAAAAAGTATATAACTAGACAGGTCAACAATCTTTTTTTAAAAAACAAATGTTCTAAAAGCAAAGATTTCTAAAATATTTCAAACAACCTAAATAATAAGTAAAGTAAAATGTAACAAATTAAAAAAACATTGAAACAGAAAAACTAGTGGAGCCACAACTGCATTTATTTTTATTTGTAACATTTGTGTAATATTATAATAGCTGAACCTCAGTAAAAACTACCCACATTTGAAATCAAATTCGTGTATTTCATGACCAGCAACAGGTTACTTCACTTGGGATTGATCCTTTGGCTGTGTTCCTAAGCCACAAAGATGTTTGCCCAAGTAGATATTTAAACAAATATGTAGGTTTCCAGATCAATGTGCAAACCATACACCATGACCATTTCACGGTTCAGTGACTCAGATACTTCCATTAAAAAATACACATCTTGAACTTTTAAAATTGAAAACTTTTAATGAAAATAGCATGGAGGTTGTTAGCAAACTTTGATATAAACTTTGAAAATAGCAAACTTTGGAGGTTGTTTTTGAGAAAAAATCTTGTTAACCCATTTGTGAAAAATTATTACAAAACAATTCAAGTTTTCTAAAAACTACCAGTATTTTGAAGAAATAGTATTTCAAATTAGTAGAATTGTAGGGTCTCATATAATATAGAAAATCAATTATAATTTTTCTACAATTTAAGTTATTTCATTAGGTTTTCTAAACAATGTTTCAGGGCAAGGTTAGCCCCATTATCAGACAACTAACAATATAATATACTAGCATATAACATTGAAATTTGCAAAATTCACAAAAAAAAGGAACATTTAATTATTTAGAGATGTAACATTGAAAAATAAACTGCATTAAGAAAGAAGTCTCCTGCTTCAATATAAAATCAAGACATGATAAAGCACAGACGCACAACAAATCAACAGCAAGATTTTCAGAAAGATGATTCCATTATAGTCAAGAATCAACTGCTAATACATCAAGAATTGACTATCTAATCTATGGCCAAGAGACATCTACATAGCCTCTTTCATCCACAAGCAAATTGTAAGCAGAGACTGACTAACTAAATAGAAACTATTGTCCAGTCGCCAAAAAGATTTGTCTTTCAAAGCAGAACACAGCATGAAGCTGCAGGCAACATGAGCCAAGATGTTACCGAGACGCCACCGAAAAATATACTCTTATGAAGCAGAACAGAGTACGAGGTCGCTGCTGCCTATCTGACATCCTGTGTTGATCAGCTGCTGACGCTATTAATTGCGCAACTTTTCTTGACTGATGACCATGCTTCCCCCTTTCTGGCACAATAAACAGTTGAAGGCTAAAGCTCTTTACTGGTACGAAATAGAAACTTTTTTTTTTCTTTCTTTTTCTCCTTTTCTTCAAAAAATCTAAAGGAATGAAATTTTTAACTAACACCCCACTCTACCTGCATTTCTTCAATTCATTGGACAAGAAAAGTTGCATGAGTAATACCAGCAGCCATCGTAACATACACTCATTTTAAGTATCCATTATGAATTAAGCCCTTCATAGTGGATACTCTTAATTGATTCAATCTTGATCAACATTTTTGATACTTATTAAAAACAAAAGAAACTGAAAATCAAATTAAATCACCTTTTGCATTTCCCAAATGAATCAGAGGCAGTTTTCAGGAAAATTTCTCCTCCTTTCATGAAATTCTTACAAAGGTGATTATTTATTTTACTCCCAAAATAATATATTTCCCAAAAATCATGCATAATTTACTTCACATCTTACCTTGCATCTAACACCCATTTCTTTCTTTCCTCTGGTTCACGAGGTAAAAGAACATCTAATGCTTCCAGTTCTTTCTCACATGCCATTAAACTTTTAGCATTAACAGGTACGCCTCCAAGCTTGAATGAAGGACCTCTTGGACGTTTCTTTTGATTAGGACCTAGAAAATATTTTTAAAAATGAGCAATAACTATTTGATGATCATTTTCAGTGATTTCAATAAAATTGAACTTACAATTTATTCACAATGAACGACAGATAAATGGTAAATAAATTAAATTTACCAGATGCATTGCTGTCTTCATTCAGTGCTTCTTCTTTGGCTGCTGCTTGCATCTCAGCCATGGCTGCTATACATCTATCACGTAACATTTCACCCAAACGTCGAAGTTCTGCTAATGGCTTTTCTTGCAATTCAGCATCGCATGCTACAGCTTCTAGCCTGCCATCATTACCACATACATCACATTAAGCATATGAATGTCAACCAAGCAAACATTTGAAGAGGGGAAGAAAGAAAGCGAGAGAGCAAGAGAGGAAAAAACCAGAAGAAGAAGAAAAAACGCACCCACCACCACTAACAACAAACAACCCACAACAACCCCCTACATGAATCCCAACCACAAATGAAGTAAGTGTGGCATATTATTTATACAGTAAAGCTCAATAATATTTCAATTTTGTAGAAATTCATGTGGACAGGCAAAAGAGCAGGCCTTATTGAACAAATCTCGTCACCGATAAAGAAATTGTTACTGCTGTTATTATTAAGGGAAAGTAACAACAAAAGGAATACTACAGAATCACACATTATCAAAACATACAAAATTTCTGACAAGTATTAATTGAGTCCACCAGACTCAGTAGCCCTGGCTTGTGGAGATGGAAAAGAAAGAAAATTCCGGTTATACCACTCTAAATAACTTACATCATTTTTTAATTTCAGGTACACGTAACTGAAGGAAAAGAACGAATAAACTAATCACTACTTTCACCAGAAACTAGAAAAAGGACATTAATACAAGGCCTTTGAGTCCCCCATTTGTGCATCAATGGATTAATAAGTGAAAAGTATTTATGTTCTGTATTTTATTATAAAAGCAAACATAACTTGCAACAATTTATACCATTTTTTCCACGGACCCTTCAAAAGTGTAAAAGAAGGATTTTACTGTAATTAAAGGAATAACACATACTTTACATTTTGCTAATCAGTTTCTTTTTAACTTTGCAGTCAATTGTTTTTGAGGTTTTGAAGTTATATCTTTTACAAGTCAAATTTTTTTCACAGTGAAATCTGGAAAAGACTACTCAATATCCAGGCCACATTTACTTGTAGGAGTCAGGAGTTATCAGCTCTTGCCCCAACTGCTTCATGTACTTATATCTTATCATAATCGGTGTGTCTTTGAAACTCGTAAATATTACTCTCGTAAATGAGTTCACCCTTCCAATTTTCCACATCCTCTAAAATACAGAAAGGGGCCATCGCCTGGTTTTCCTGCTTTCGTGTCTAAGAAATTTACTCCACATTTTGTTTTATTGTAAAAGCATATAATCTTGGGCTTCCTTCTCTTTTAATCAGTCTGGATGCTATGATATTTAGTTGATGTCAATAAGACAGATCTATTCTTTTTAGGCACAATGCTAAGAAGTAGTTGGTACTCTAAATCTGTACGGTGTTGATCCAACTGGTCTTAGTAGACTAGCAAGAAATTCTTCAGGAATAATTTTTTATCCTTTTTTACTATCTTCATCAGTTCAACAATAACTTCGGCAGAACTAAATCAACTCTCTGAAGTGATATTCTTGTTAGACCCTTCAATAGGTTTGAATACACAAAGCATAGCTCGAGAAGGGATTATAAATGTTTGCTTGTCTTGAGTTGGGATTGCCTGGGGTAAGTCAGCCATTACAATATTTTGAAAATTAATATTAAATTTTTTATTAAAATTATTATTATTAAATTGTTATTGAAATTTGAGAGTCACTAAAGAGAGTAAATTGAAATACCCATCTCACAGCCCACTTACATAGAGAAACAATTCGATCTCACATACCACTACAAAAAATACAGTGAGAAAATTGCAGGTCTCACAGACTAACAATTGCAAAGAACGCCATGTCAACGCTGGCCACTTCAGCAGAACTAAACAAAACTCCTTCAAAAGATAGAAGAGGATCAGGGAGGAAGCTACTATGATTGTTAACACTCCACGTCTGCCACTATTGCATACATCAATTTCACTTTGTGCCTGCCAGACCAATGTTTCCATAGAAGTGTTAAAAACCACTGCATGTTTAGAATTAAGTGTTACCTTAAGTACTTTAATTCCTACAACTCTCTTAGAAACAAATCTAGAGCGATGTTTGCACAAATATAATTAAAACAGTATTAAAAAAGGAAGTTTAGTTCCAATTCAGAAGTAAAACTAAATAAAATCTTTAAACAAGGTTTTGTTTCCATTAAACTTAGACATTACTATTAATTAGTAATTACATCTTAAAAACAAGTATCAATGCATTAATTTTTTAAACATTATTGTTTTAACTTGTTTTTCTGTTTGATGATTTGTTTACCTCTTGTTTTGAAAAGAAATCATTCATATTATTAACAGACAGAAATGAGTTTATTGATTTTGATTAAACTTGAATTCTATATACTGAAATCCATGTTGTTTTCATTGAAGAATATAGTTTTGTTTTGTTACTGTAAGGGAGCGACAGAGGGGACAAATTTAATTTTAACTAACTGTTATAAGCTAAACCGGTAAATCTTTTTATTTTGAATTTAACTGCCTTCAATATGGAGTGTGATATACTCTGCATCACTTACTTGCATCATGAAAATAGTGGTTTTGAGGGAAATATGAAAACATTTGAATGACGCTTTGTGTTTTCTTATAGGGGGAAATATGGAAGGGCAAATGAGAAGAAAACCAGAGTCAAATTAACATCCAGTTAATTAGTAAGTAAGTTTATCTGAATTATTAAGGTAGCATTTATCTGAGGAAATAATACCAAGTATGTTGTTTCTATTTTATTTTCCTTGTACATTTGATTTCTGTATGCTCTTAGAGGTTACTTAATTTTTTTCCCCTCTGGTTATAATTAATTGGCCAAAATGCTAGTTTTTACTTCAGACATCCTATATCCACAACAAGTTGATATATTTTGATAATTCTTGTATAATTGTTTCATAATTCATCACAAATATTTGTTCTAGAAATGAACTAGAATGGTAAAAATACTAACCTAAGAAACATAGAGTAGGAATTTGATTATTTTAAAAAACATAAATATTTAGAAGCAGTGGCAGCTAGAATAGTGCCAATGTAACATAACATCACCAACAAAACGAAAGGAAAATCAATTTTTCACCACAAATGTGTGTATAAAATATCATTTCTTGAGAATATTATTCTTTATAGTAATTCTTTTAAACGAGCGCTTAGTTATTCAATACTCTCTGCAAACGCACACGGTGTAATGCTGTCTGACGGTCTCTTCCCGAACCTCTGAGCCACCTATGAAGTGGCACAGTCTCTAACCTTTTAACTCTGTATAAAGAACACAGTATTTGTTTATATGAATCTCTTATGGATGAGACAGTGCCAGAGTGGAAGTGGCACAGTAGTTTATGATTTGCCTCACAGAAAGTGCCAACAGTATTATCTTCATCGAGCAGACTCACTCTTACTCAGGATGACCCCAATGCCCTGGAATTTCGTACGCTTGTCCTTGTGTTTTTATACATGGATAGGCGGCGTACGCCATGGGAGTAAGGAAGCTGTGACCAGTTGAGTTTACTGTGGCCATTCAGGCTGAGTATTTTTCTTTCCTCTTATTATATGTAGTTTCCTTTCAGTTAAATCTTCCTAATAAATTAATAAACAAGGTCACTCAAAAATTAAATATTGTTGTCCATAAATTTTATTTTAGAACTTACTAAACCACTTTTAAAACATCACATCGATGTTTAAAACCAGAGATGGTTTTTGATCGATGCTTTATTAACATTGTTTTAATTTTGAACATTGATAATTCGTAATATCAATTTATTACCTGTTTTTAAATCGATGTCGCATCACTAACTGACACAATCATTAGATAAATTTTTGGATACCCGGGAGACACTGTGTCGTTGGCTGAGAGGCCGACGTTTCGCATGACATGTCGCAGGCTTCCTCAGGGCACGGCATCTACCAGATAGCCAAGAATTTGTGGAATCGAGCCATGGAAGCTTACGTGTGCACCATCAATAGATTTCTGTACAGGCCACCACTGTTTAAAAGTATATTCAGGACATTTCAGTTCATTTAACTGAAACTTTTAGTGGCACGTTAACTATTCTAGTTCATTCTCCAGAGTAAATCATAGGTTGCAGCTGCAAGAATATTATATCAATTTCTTATATGGTTTATGATTTATGATGTTTGATATGCATGAATGTGATGAAGATTTCCAATTTAGGAAAAATATATCAGAAGTTTACCCACTAATATCTTAACAGAATACCAAAAGAAACATGACACTTGCACACTAAGATTTAAAAATAAAAATTTCAAAAGTAGAAAGAAATGGTTGGAAGCATTTAAAAGAGAATACAAATAGAGCACACAACTCAACAAAAATTGAAAAGAAAATTTCACGATTTTACTAAATTTTGAGGTAGACGGTTACCTTAAAATTAGACAAAATATAAAATTTTGTCTTTACCAAGGGGGCTGACTTGTTCTAATGAACGTGTGGCAACAGAAAGCCAGATGGCTTTATTGTTGCCACTCGATCATTAATCCTTGTAATGTCCTTGGTGTATACATAACTATTTTCACTCTCTCTGTAGTGTATTATACTACATCTGCTAGAAATAGTATAATAATAATAATAATAATAATAATAATATAAATATTATTATTATTATTATATTAATCATCCTCATTAATAACAATAAAAATAAAAATTTGGAACTAAAGAGAATCTGAAAAACATGAGGAATTAGTAACAACCTTAAAAGAGAAAATTCAAACCTTTTCAGCGGAGCAGGGAATTTCTTATAACTCTTCACGAATCTTCGAATTTCTGCATCAGTAAAACCTTTAATAACTTCACGAGGTTGTAGAGGTGGTCTTCCTCTTCTTCTTGGTCGTTCATCATCACTTCCTCCATCGCTGGTGTCAGATTCTTCATTTCTCTTCTTTTTTTTCTTTCCCTTTCCTTCACCTAAAACAATTGCCAGACTACTCTTTACAAATATCTGACTATAAATAATACATTTTTATAATTTAGAAATGTGCAAACGGTCCTGAATCATCAAGGATGTAAAATTCAACTTCTACAGATTATTTTCCCCCATCACATCACTGAAATGAAATTAAACAAACCATCACTGTCGGAGTCGTTAATTTGTTGTAAGGTCTTTCGGCTTCTAGGAGGCAAATACAAATCATCCATTTCCTTTTGCCTTTCTTCTTCCTCTACTTTTTTACGAATTGTTTCAGGAATTATTTCATCCTATAAGAAAATCAAATAACATGATATTGACTTCTTTATTCGCATGTGTTCCTGCTTCAAAAATTTTTTTTTTTGCTTACCCAGTCTTTACTTTCTTCATCAACTTCTTCATGTTTAACAGGTGGAATGTCTGCATCTTCATCAATAGCTACAAAACTAGCAACTTTAAATGCAGACAGAAGTTCATCTCCTACTGTTGCTGGTGCTTCATCCCTAGTTTCAGCTCTTCGAAGAATTTCATCAATATCACACTGTACAAATAATGATATTTCAATATTAAACAAAACATTCACCTTTTCACTGAAAATTCAATTCAAGTAAACAAGTATAACAATTTGATAATATAAAAAATTTGTCTAATGTACTGGAAATAATTTAAAAACCAGACAAATAATTTTAATGAATGTAAACTTCAAATTTAAAGAACACAAAAACAATATGTGTATTGGTACGAGAAATATTTGCTTCAATGTGAATACTCAAGATGTGTGAAATACGAAGTTGATTGGCCTTGGCAAATATCCCTCCCCACCGAAGAAGGTTCTACAATTAATGATTACCAAATATAGAACTTCTTAAATATTTTAAATGCACGATCTCCATGATACAGTAAGACATTTTAAGTCAAGAAAACAAGTTTCATTTCAGAAAGTACCAGGAATCAGATGCTGGAAATGATAATAAGGCATCGCTAATCTATCAGTTAATCTAAATTTCATTACTTTATCTCTTATTACTCATACAGGAAAGAAATTTTCTGTCTTATGTGATTACCATTGATCAACAGTATTTCCGACATCCTATGCTGTGAGAAATGGGATGGTAGCAGATGGCTGCAGATTTATGAACAGAACAAAACCACAGCAAGGTACAATAAATACCAAACTAGTGGCAAACCAGAATGGCACAGACTTTCTCATACTAGTTAGTTTTCTAATGTCTTTGGTCTGGGCTAGTTTTCTGGTTTTGTTCCATCCTCTTGCCAACTGCTATCCATCACTGCCCAAAGTACATTTAAAAAAACAAAAGTCACAAATCACTCTTATTTAAATTGTACAATAAGTGGGTTTTTATGTGCATTTGTGATTGGTTAATTTGGAATTACTCCACATTATCAAAAGCATACCCTAGGCTAGGTGTTATTGTTTCTAATTTTGAAAATTATTTGAATATAGGCAGAATTACTAACATGTTGCATGTCCAAAAATTTCAAGATGTGCTTCTTAATGCTGATTGTGACTATTAAACAACAACTTCACTACCAATTCTCGATTTCATTACTTAGTATAATGCAGAATGTAAACAATCTATAATGACCAGTGAAGATCCCAATTTTTCTCTCAGAAGAGTAAAGGTAATTGTACATGTAAATTGCTGATTGCAAAATCACCAAGTCCACATTAGTTAAAAGAAGAAATGCAAACTTAGCATGTATGCTCCGTTAGATAGTGCACAATATTAAACAATGTCCCCATTTTCTGCTTTGCAAACAGGGGTAGGTATTTTAGCTTGGAAACACTCCAAACCCAGGACATGTAATTTTTCTTCTCAGTTGTTGGCAATTCAACAATTTGTGGTACTACTGTTTAAAAGACATCTACCAGTTGCTGATGTCAGTATTGTTGTGAAAATGGAGGAAGAAGCTTGTCCCAATAATAATAATAATAATAATAATAATAATAATAATAATAATAAAAAAAAAAAAAGTGAATCATTCTTCAAAATATCGAATAAATATGGAAAAAGTTCAAAGTCACGGTGAACATTAGAATCGTAGTGGCAAAAATCGTTCTGGGAAAGGTGACAGACCATATGACAAGCATCACGAGGCTTCAAAGGGCGCTTCAGTGTTATTACACAAGATTTCGACAACACATTTTCTAAATATGATTTACTAGTTTTAAGTTATTTTTTTCTTATAAATTCATGAATTGAAAATAACCATGGGTTTCACTGTGTTATCTCTTCCCCCGTTTCAGAGCAGCAGGGGAAACTGCCGAACTCAACAATTTGGGGAAGTAAGGTGTGGATTGCCTGAGTAATGAAAATATGGCCAGCAACCATATTAAACCTCTCAGTTGAGGCCTTTGAGGCCTTGCAAGTTGGACATCCCTGTCCTAGATGCTTGCAGATGTGCAAGAATCTCCCAATATATGTACAGTACTGTAAAGATTAAATTATATTTTGTGCTGTTGTTTTCTTTTTCTACAAACAGCATTCATCGTTAGAACAGTCAAACGTATCATATTGTAATCCTAAAGAAATATATGAATAGAATATTGTCATATAAATAAAGACAGCTAATTCGTTACTGCATTTTACAATCGAAAATTACAATGATTGCAAAAACAATCTCAATCAGCAGAATAAAAAATAATTTACAACAAACAATGTGGCAAGTTGAAGTCATAAATAAAGAATAAGTGCTACTTAATCTTCGTACAAAGTTGAGTCTTGATCTAACAATTAGTGTAGTAATTACATTGTTTTTCTAACTTTTCCTTACGTTAGTGCAACTTGACCTACAACTAATTTACAGGTTTCCATCTGATGAATGATATTGGAAGTTATAGCAAATGCGCACTGTGAATGCTGGGGAGGCAAATCCACTGTGTGCCTGCACATGCTCATTAAAATTCCAAAATCTCCTGACAAAAGAAATAATGTAAACTGGGTCTTAAAGCTTGTCCTTACAATCAGCAATTCATGTATTATAAAGCTTATAAGAGCACTTGCACAGGTGGATTAAGGTACACTAATGAACTTCGAATAATTGTCAATAGTGTAATATTCTTTAGAACAATTGAGTTTTTGTTCCATTATTTTCATGCTCTTACCCTTTCTCACAAATGTGCTTACTTTTGCAGTGTGTCATTGGAATCAAATAAAAATACATGTTCTTGTGAACCATTTGGAGATAACATAAATTAGATACGTATTAGTTTATGGAGTGTGGTTAAAAAAACAAAAACATTATCATTAAAATATAAATAATAAAATAATAATAATAGTATAATCAGTAAGACATGCAAATATTATTAAAATTAACTAGTATGGTAATGTGAGGTACGAGTATGAAGTAGAAGTAGTTTTGAGGTGTAAGGTCTAAGAAGCCCAACAATTTCTTATTAAAGGTTCACTATTAAGAATAAAAGTACTATTTTATTATAAAAGCAAAGAAATTTCCCACCATTGACAGCATTATTTTCAGTTGTTCAAAAGGTTTTTAAAAAAAGTTCTTTTGTAGTATGTAAATAACAGCACACTTACTGTAGGTTCTTCATCACCATCATCTTCTTTCTCTTTAAACAATTCCTCAGCACCAAATTTTAATATTGCTGTTAGCTCTTCCTTATTAAACGGAGTTGATGAACTGGAAGATTTCTTATCCAAAACCGTTCGTCCAGTTGTATCCATTCTCTGAATAACTAAATGATCTAGTACCATTTTCTGCTTAGCTTTTTCAACAATTTCTTCTTCCACAGAGCTTCGAGTTACAAGACGATATATATTCACCTGTATACAGAGGATATCCTTCCTTTAAGTTCGCCCTTTGCCAAGAAAAAGGACTCAAATACACATTATGTTCACTCAATAACTTGCCTGATTCTTCTGTCCAATTCTGTGAGCTCGTGCTTGTGCTTGTAAATCATTTTGAGGATTCCAATCCGAATCAAAAATAATTACAGTATCAGCTGTAGCCAAATTTATACCTAAACCACCAGCTCGAGTAGAAAGGAGAAAACAAAAATCCTGAGAACCTTCAGCATTAAAATGATCCAATGCTTGTTTACGCAGTTCTCCTTTAATGCTTCCATCTAATCTTTGGAAGGAAAAGTGACGGAGCTGCAGATATTCCCCAATTATGTCCAACATCCGCACCATTTGAGAGAAGATGAGTACACGATGACCAGTTTCTTTCAAGCGTATCAACAACTTATCCAACAGAACGAGTTTCCCAGATCCACGTATCAATTCCTAGGAAAATGACAATTTGTATGATATATCAAAATTAGAAGGTAGTTTTTTAATTAATATACAACATACAGTTCAAGACACTGGTTTCCTCTTACCCGGATATGTTCATCTTGGTTGTTTCGCTGATCAGGATCAGCAGGCTTTATAAGGTAGGAATGATTACAACACTTCTTCAACTCTATAACAATATTCAGAAATGAAGTTGATGATCCTTTAGTACCTTTCCTTAAAGCATTATAATTTTTTGTCAGAATCCACTTGTAATACTGCTTTTGGAGAGAAGTCATCTCTACACGAAGAATTTGTTCCACCTATAAAAATAATTAAATATTCATTTAGAATAAAATCTTCACAATAACCGAACAGTACGAATGAAATAGCAAAAGGATAACCACAGTAGAATCTCCTTAGGAAGATTCCCATAACCATATTTTCAAAGTTTGTTAAAAACATCAAAATGTGGAATTTGGAGCTTATTTTCACAGATAACTTTTGATTTTTCATGCAATTTCATAAGAAATCATTTGTTTTTCACTCATCATTGTACATTATTTTATACTCAGAATTCAATAAAGTTACATTTGTGACCTTATATAGAAAGATATATAGTGACCTTATATAGAATATTACATTTGTTACACAAGTTATTCAGTCATTGCACTAACCAGATAAAGTGTCTGAAGACATAATTCACAGCTGCTTTTTAAAACAAATTGCTTTTATTAGGTTTTATTATGTTCATATTTTAATCAAAATTGCTTAAAAAACAATTAATACTTTCAAAACAATTAACATGACATTAAATAAAGAATTAGTTGTGGGGAACAAATTTCAATAGCAGAAAATAGAGAGAGTAAGTTATATAATATTATTACTCTCGTACTTAGTGAACAAAGTTTATTAATGAAAATGAAACAAGAATTCCCCGAAATCCCAGGCATCTTTGATTCATGCTCCCACTCATATTAAAAAAAGAGCTGGAAGCAGAAAAGAAACCTAACCTTTTCATTAGGTGAATGACTAATATAATTTAGGTATCATTTTCTTTCTCTTTTCTTTAAAAAAAATTCAAATTAATTTTCTTTATTAAGTTTATATCAGTGGATTAATAGCATATGGGTGTAATTTATTTCACAATATTAAATTTTTGTATCTACTTATGAAAATATTTTCACCTGCACTTGGTTCTCTTGTATCGTTAACGTAATGACCACAGTAAAAAACATGGTTTTTTATCAACATGCATTTATTTAAATATTTATGATACAAGAACTTGTGGTCATCAATGATAAAAACAGAAATAAAATAAATGCTTATAATCCTAATGTTTTCATTTTCAAATAAATTTTGTTAATTTTTTATGGTCTGATATACACGATTGTCCTTTTGGCATAAATATTTAAATAGTAAATGTGTGTATACTACAAACAATGTGTACTAGACATCAGATTGAGAATACAATCAGTAGAATGTTTCCATGAGTAAGCATTTGGAAAAGACGAAAATCACTACATTAAATTTTATTCACAAAACAGGTTGACACCAAGTTAAAATATTCATGAAGAGGGACTTTTTAATTTTTAAATACCTTTGCTGGCAATGATTTTTCCACATCTTTTTTAACTCTACGAAGGATGAATGGTTCCAACTGTTTATGTAATTTGGAGTAACCCTTCTGTGCAGAATTTGCATGATCTTTTTCAAATTCTTCCCAAGAACTGAACCTGTTGAAACATAAAAAAATTGTTAATTTATGACACTATACTTAAAATAAATATATACAAATTACATAAAATACTACAAATTTATGAAACTCACTTATGAGGCATAATAAAATGAAGAAGACTCCACAACTCTTTAAGGCTATTTTGTAGAGGAGTTCCAGTAATTAAAAGTCTGTGATTTGTTTCAAATTCCATGAGAGCTTTATAAAGCAATGAGTCATCGTTTTTAAGTCTGTGAGCTTCATCTACTAATAAAGCTGCCCAACTCACACTTCCAAGAAATACTTTATCTTTTAGAACAATTTCATATGTAGTCAATATGGCGTTAAATTTTAACCTCTTAGAACTTGCAAAACACCATTCGTATTGTCGAATCTGAAGAGAAAAAGAAACAAAACAATAATTAGTTTTTATCAAGAATAGTCAATAAAATTAAAACATTTGGGTCCCTGAAAAAAGTACCAGTTTTTATGTTCATACTGAATAAAATACACCCATTTTCTTCATACTGTCGTTATATAGGGAAAGATAAGCCTTGTGGCAATGGAAGCATGCATAGTCTTGTCAAACAAAATTATTTCCATTTTACACATTGATAATATTAATTTATTCTCAAGTAGATAAATACAATAAATAAATCCCAGGCAATAGCACAAATAAAAAGGATTGAAATGTAACAATATTATGAAAAGCATTTCACTCTTCTATAAGTTGGGAATTTTTTTATATTTATGGGTCATGCATTGAAACCTTTCTTTCTCAAGTTCGGAAAAATTTGCATTTGGTTGCTTCTATTCTCTATCAAAAACATGGTGAGAATACACTTTAATGTTCATCATGTCACAGAGAGTGTACAAGATCCAGAGCAGAATGCACAAAATATGCTCTGAAAAACAGGTGAGTTTTCTTAGGGTACATAAATCTTCCTGTGTCAACATAGGTATTGGGTTTAGAAGCATACAGTGTGGGATTGTGCTAGCTAAGTGAGGATACCGACATAAGCTCTACGTACAACCAGTTTATTTACAATTTATTACAAATGTGTGTGTTAAAAGACAAGAAGATACAGCAAAACCTTTCTAAGGTAGAACCTATCGATTCCTTCAAAACATTTCCGTCCAGATGGATTTCCATCATACTGTATCCAAAAATTCACATTGAAGCTTAAATACAGCAATTTTGATGTACTTTTGTCCTTTGAACCATTCATTTTGAACTTTGTCCTCATTTTGTAAAATATCATGAATTTGAGTTTTACTCATTTTGAATTTCGCAACTAGATCTTTTGCAGTACGTTTCTGCTTCTAGTGTTCATCTATCACTTCCATTTTTTTCTGTAGTAGAAGTGTTTTTGCATGTATGCTTTGAAAACATTTTGGCACTCTAGCATACAATTTTCTTACACTATATGGTGAACAGTCAATAAGTTGTATGGTCTACACCTCATCAATTCTATGCCTGCTATGTTAGGGTGACAAAACAGCCTTCATGGATTCCATTGTCGACTGATGGAAACGTGGTGACGCTTTTGGGAATTAAATAGAATGCGGGAGACCAATGATAAGGATTCAGACAGTGACTTTTAAACATATTTAGGCTGTAGCCTCAGCACAACTTTCTCTACCCCGGGTCACAAGGGTTCGGGGTATATTGGAAGGGTCGTATCTTCTAAACCAATTAACATATGAAAAAGATTTTTTTCTTTTATTTTAAAGAAACAAAGTAATTCGTTTATATGAAGTTCTAACTTTTATGTTCACATTAATAGTTTAAAATATTTTTAAATATAAATAACACAAGAAATTCAGTTCCAAAACATGTTTAATGTGTTTGTATGAAATTCTTATAATTTTTTTTAGTATTATTAGAAAATTACTCATAACATTGCATTATTATCTACTGCAATAATGAAGAAAACATTACTTTATCTTCACAATAACTGGCTTCGGTGTGGTTATTTTCAAGAGCGCTCCTATCGACAGCAAGCACATGCACGTATCCTAAGCTATTACACTTAAAAGCAGCAAATGAAATCTAGGGGTGTTTTAGGTACTGTAATGATGTAGGAATCTCTATCAATGGTCAGGAAAATGGCATGAAAAAAGCAGAATGGAAAATGGCATGAAATAAGCAGAAATACAGTATGAATCACAATTGAAGTTAAAACAGTACATGTCTAAGTCGGAACAGTTTTGGTCGAACATTTTTTTCAGCCTTGTACAGATTTCCAATAAAAACAGTCAATTCAAGAATGCAATCATTCAAAGATGGATTAAGTGGTATGGGTAGTTTATATCGCCTAAAAACATTTCAAAGAAACAAAGATACCCCGGGAGAAACAAAAAATATGATACACAGAAATGCAATACTAATGCAAGTCTAATGAAACAAAGAACTCCATTAAAAGTTAAAGAAATATTATTTTCTTCGACATTTGTATGAACAGATATATTCAAACCTAGGTCTTTGTGAATACTGCGGCAGCTACACACACGAAAATTCTTTTAACCACTAATTCTTGATTTTGTATTTGTTTTTAAGGTGTCATACACTTGGTTTTTCCAGTTTTTAAGTTATTTTTCAAAACCTAGACAGAGGCATTGCTTTGTTTGTGTTCTTCAATTAGTCGAATTTCCTCATCAAGAGTTTGCCACCTGACATCATAAACACTTGATTAACACAACATCTGCAACTCATGAAGCAAGACAACTGTAAATATTTAGATCCATTGAACCCAAAGCATGAATTACAAGAACTGTGGAAGGATCGCTCTTTGCGTCTCTCCTTCCTTCACATGGACTCATGAAGATCAGCGCTATTACAAAAAATCACAGTTTTCAGTTACAATTACAATACTGTTTCTTCTTGCGTCAATAAGAGTGTAATAAACAGTGGCTTTTGCACAAGTAGCTTGGGAAATATGACGTTCGGACGTGTAGCTGAGAAAGCAAATGAATGAATGAGAAGAACTCTCTCTGAGTATGATGTTGCCACACCAAGTCAACATTTTAACTTTTAAAAGAATATCTGTTTTCAGTCTTATCCAGAATTAAAAATATCATTGTACTAAAATTTGTTCAGAGGTTGCAGGATTCTGGAATATCCAGTGTACTTTGCACCGTTCTGAGATTTTTTCCTGTGAAGCAGGCTTCCACTTTAAACAGGTTTTACGGTATTAACTTAATCCTTAACAACATGTATTGGTGTACTCATACACCACTATCATAAGATATTTAATAATTTGTTATTTGAGAAAAGAGAAATTAATGATAATTATTTTATTTCCAAACACAATATTATTGTTATTAGTGTTTCAATTGTACTGTACTATCAGTAAAAATCCCTACTATTCATTTTATAACATACAACTTTTTAATGTACAGATTTCATTAGAGACAATGAAGTATTAGACAAAAGTTGGTATCTCCAGCAAAGTGAAATGTTATAGTAGGAAGTCAACACGCACAATTTTTGTAAGTCCTATATGTGTGCGAGTTTAAAACAAAAACATTTTATGCATTATGAGTTTCTAAAACCGCTTTTTTTGGTACATTTATCTGATTCCTAAAAATGTCCCTTCATGCAAACATTGGAAAGTTCAAAAAGAAACAAGTCTCAACCTGCAAAATTGTGATCCTAAAATGTGTCAAAATGTTTAAACTCGTTAAATTCTTTAACATTTTTTAAAAGAGTAATTTTTTTAAAAAGGTATATCACTGAGTTCTTAAAGAATATCCCCTTTTCCCAACATAATCAGGTCTGAAAGGGTAATATAACACTCATTCAAGCTTTGAGGGGACAAAAATACACATCTATAATTTTTGTAAATGCAAGTTTTAAAATAAAATCACTCATGTGAACAAAGAATTCATTGTTCTCTATGCTTTAAAAACTTAATAAGACAAGAACAAAACTTCAAGCTGTTTCCTGAAAAATGAAAAGAAAGAAAACGAAAATCAGGTAATTGTCAAGATTTGAATCAAAATTATGCAAAAATTACTAACACCTTGAAAAATCTACATATGAATGATCTAAGGATTAAAAATTAAGAACTCAGTGCTCCGAGACAAAAATCTCTAGCTAAGTAATGAAGGTGGAGTACAGTTCAAGAATGAATTTTGCAATTATTGAAATTCCAGAGAAATCTGTGTTTGATGCAGTATACAGTTCACTTGTTTACCAGCGCATAACATCATTTGGTAGGATGCCAAACTTACTTATTAAACTGTTTTCCTATCATTGTGTGCAGCTCATGTTTTCTCTCTTCGTTGTGCTTTGAGCAGATTATTTTGATGTTATTTTCAGATTTGAATTTTGAATGTGTAAAGTTCACAGAAAGTAAGCCAAACAAAATGGGGTGTAGAAACTTTGTTGCAGCTGACTCTTGAAAGCAGACTGTCTTTGAGAGGGTTCAAGACACATGGCTGTCATTAACTACATGCATTTAGAAGACCCCTTTGAGAAGGTTCTAATATATTTTGAGTAAATCTCGCAACCTTAACAAAAAAGATTCTCTCAAAGAGGAAGGTTTCCCAAAATATGCCATTCATCATAATATGGCCATCTGAAATTTCAATTATATTTTGCTTTTAAACATTATTTACTTTGAAATTAAACAGTTTCGAGCCTAAAATCAACTCATACCTAGGACCCAGATGTTTACGACATGTAATTTTTTTCTATTTCTTTGTGTTATTTCCATGGAAAATGTAAGTGAAGAATGATTTTATCTACAATGACTAAAATCATGCAATTGCCTATCGTTTACAGTCATATTTTGGCTCCTTTAATGCTTTTGTCATATTTCATTTATATTTCATATTACAGTCACAATTTTGTAGCCATATTTGTTATAATTTTATCATGATGTTTTTCTCATACTGCTTGCAGTCGTCTCAAAGATATTTTTTCACAACTAATTCAAATGATGATGTTAAAGGAAGACCGAGCAGGAGATAAATTTCTCATTTTCTGTGAAACATTGGGCAGAACTAACCACTCAACCATTGCTGTTACCTTGCATTAACAATGAATGTGTTGTGGCCTGAAGGAATGAAGAGAGAAAATGTTCTACTCAGTGGTGTAACTAGCCCTTCCGGTCATCTGGTCCCAAAACTAAATTGGGATCCCTCAACAAATTTTATTCAACAATGACAACTCAATTTGAAAACTATTTGGATGAAAATGTATTAATCATTCAATCTTAAAATTCAAAATTGAGGCCTGCGGACTTTGGCTTTGATGAACTTATTTTGCCCAGGTCACATTTAATGAGTTTGTCACTTTTCTCTGTATAGATAATATGCTAAGATCTGCCAGTCTCTCCTGCCCCATCGAATTTCGCAGATACTTTTTGATAATTTTCAATTTTGAAAAAGATTGTGCCACAGTCGCAACTGTTACAGGAAATGTTAGAAACATCAAGATTACTGGACAGGCGTCTGTAAAGCTAGCTGAAGGAGTAAAGTACTCAATCAAGACCAAGATAGCCAACTCTCTGCTGGAGGGAATCTTCTAAATTCAATCTCTTAGATGTGGATAATAGCTGTGTGTACAGTTGATCAGTAACATTGTTATAGTATTTTTCACTTTTTTTGGCATTGATTCGCATGTTCTTTATCTGAAAGCTGCAACCAAGTTCTTAGCTGAAAGATCGCAAACAAATCGATTATTTGATTGAAGCCATTTGTGAGTACTCCGATTATTTAAACAAGTGAAGTAACATTACCTTTGAATCGTTTTTCACCATCAAGATAAACTAGACATCATCTTTACATTGTTCGTCAAAATTTGTTTTTCAAGTTTCTCGGAAAAATAGATTTATATGCTCCAAAATGTAGCCAGTCTATTGCATTGGTTTTTAGTTTGTTACAGTCACATCTAAAATCTTTTGGATTATTGGGAGCTGCTTCAATCAAATTCCATGCTTCGCAAAGATCAAAATCAGATATTTGCAGAATAGCAACACAGCATTAGTCATGATCACAATGTTTTTAATGCAATAAAACTTGGAACACAAGTTCAAATGTCACCATTTCTTTTTTCAAGTTGCACACATCTGCTCACTCAGATGCACTATTGCTTGCCAAGATTATTTTTGATAAAGCTTGCAAAATAGTGTATCTTATCTGAATCTCCAAAGGGAAATCATTTCTTCTGGACCATCTACTAGAACAGATGCTTCAGTTTTGGATCTGTCCAACTTGTCCAACCTGACCAACTTGATGTAATAAATAATAAGGGCATCCTAATGTCAAATTACAAGTTTAGAAAATATCTTCACATCCTCAAAATAAAATACATAATTCGAACCATGAGCCAATGTCTTTCCACTGTGTTTTCATGATTAATAATATTTTCCCTCCATGATTAAAACTTTCCACTAGTCAAATGATGATTAAAACAAACAACATTCTCAATGAAACATTGCTTATGAGAGCCCATTGTTTCTGGTGGGCCCAGGTAATTGCACTTGCTGGGCTGGCGGTAGTTACGCCCTTTGTTCTACTACTAGTCACTGATGCAGCCCCTTACATGATGAAAGCTGGCAAGGTTTGCAGCCAAACTACCCTACAATGAGACATGTAACGTGCACTGTACATGCACTAAATAAAGTTGCGGAAGAAATTAGTGGAAATTATCCTGATGTAGATAAGTTAATTTCTGCAGTGAAGAAAATATTTATCAAAGCACCATTACAAGTGCAAAAGTTCGTTTGATGCCATCCTCCCCAACCCATTGTTACAAGTTCGGGAATGAGACTTAACACTGCAAACTACAACTGTACCAATTTAAAAGCTATCAAAGATGTTAACACATTCAATAAAGGCAAAGCAGCCTCCATTAAAAACGTCATATAATTAAATCTATAAATTCTTTCTACCTTGCCAAAAACAAAGATTGAATTTTATTTAAAATAATTTATTAATGTAGATTTTAAAATATGTATCATACAGTCACGTATAAATACTTATGATCATAATCAATCATAAACACTTTACATATTTTGATACATGGTTCACTGAAAAAACTGCACAGAATTAACAGTTCAAACTGTTCAAATAACAATGAGGATTGCCACTTCTGTGTTCAATTAATCTAATGGATAACATTCAATAATAATCAAATAAATAATTAACAAAATTGAAAATAATGTATATGATTGCAGAACAGTTAACTTAAAGCATTAATATAAACAAACATTTTCATGTTTACAACAGCACTCAAAATTTCCCCCCAAAAAAGATCTAAAAACCATCCTCTGCCGAGTATACATTAGTTCTGGGCACTAGGATGTCTCCATTGATGTGGCTGAATTGTGCTGCCGTCTATTGGCCAATTTGAAACTATTTTGCAAAATGTAAGTCGATAAGGTCAAATAGTATGGAAGATAATAGTGGAAACTTGGCGAATATTTTGGAGACAGAAACAGCGCTCTCCAGCGGTTCAAGGTGTAAACTACTCTGCTCAGCTGGAGTTGTAACTGTGAATGCGAATGTTTGTTTACAAGCAAAAAAAGAAAGAGGGTGTGTTATTAGTGTTTTCTTAGTGTTCATAAGGCGTACTTTTTATTATTTGCAAAAAGTTCGTTTTTGTAAAAATTGCAAGTAGGGGTTGTGTTTGTAGCGCCCTTGGATGCAGCAATTACAAACTGCAAAGGGATTGCAAATCATTTTACTGGTTTCCTAAAAGTACACATTTGTAAGTACTGAGTAAGCACATGGATGGTTTTCGTTATTTCAGTGGGCTTTTTTACTCTCTGTAAATTGTATAATTATTTTCTGTGAATCATATTTTCCCTAATAAGAAAAAAATTGCAATCACATGAAAAACATTTTTAATAACCGAATGGAAGAATTTGTGTGTGACTGCATGTCAGGTGTAAAGAGCAAGCTTATTAGTTGTTTTCTGGGTGACAATTTGATTAAAGAACATGTATGTATCGATTGCATTTTAATGTTTTAATTAAAGAATATGTTAATCAAAAAAATGAGAATTGAACTGTGATTTGAAAAACATTTTAAATTAAAAAATAATGCATATTGAAGTTCAGAGTACTTACTTTTTTCAACAACAAAATCTTATGATCTGATTTTTTTTGGAAAATAATATTAATAAAACACAGAGCAAAGAACAAAACATCTTCACTCTCTACCATAAATAGTAATGTCAAAATAAATTATATAAACAGTTGTGTACAATAGGTGTCACGCGCCAGTCTTGTACTCTACACCTCAGCCACTAGATGGCAGTAGTCACTAGCGCCGTCCATGCTGATTTGCACAAGTTTCCACTATTATCTTTTAAACTTTGGGTAACGTTAGTCGCTTTCTATAGTAGTTTGCACTGGAAGATGGATTTCTGTACTGTGGCACATGTGTTGTTTCCAGTTTAGAATGTAGAACATGCCACAATATGACTTTTAGGCAAAGCATTCCAGAATTAGCTTTCGAAAATTTTGCAAGAAAGATTTGGGTGAAATTTGTGAAAATTCTGATTCTAAAAAATATATATTGTTGTCCAGATTTGTTTTTGCTGTATTTTTGTAATATATTCATGTCAATAAAACATAAAAATCAACACTTTTTCTTATTTTTCAGTTGTCTACTTTTGTAGTATCAGGGAACAATTGTTCAACCCAAAATGGATTTTTCTCTCTAAAAATCAGCTTTTTCCTGCAACGTTTTGATTCTTTCTCTACACTATATCTACAAGAAAGTAAAAACTATTAGCTATACATTGTTCATATTGGTAATATATATCTTAATGCACTTTTATTAAAGGCCCAAGCATCAAACTCTAATGTAAAGATTCAAAATAAATCATCCCAGCATTTTAACATTACTTGCTATTAGAAAAAAACCCTCTCATTCTTTACAAGGTATTCTGTAAATAAAATGTTTAAATTTACAAGGTACAATTTAATAACCTCAGCACAATACTAAGCACAAGCTCAGTATTAAAGCCATGGACAAAAATCATTACAACCTTTTAAGACTATTCTTAATTATTATTGTCTCAAAAATAATACTAATGGCAGGAAATGTTATAAAGCTATATTTTAATACTTACAATGTCACGTGAAGTAACATCTCCCAAGTAAGTTACAATGTTCATTTCTGGAGCCCACTGGCTAAATTCTCGTTGCCATGATGTCATAGTAGATAAAGGCACTACCACAAGGAAAGGCCCATACAATTGATAAGCATGAAAGAGATAGTACAAAAAGCATATTGTCTGAAAAGGAGAAGGCAATATCACCAATAATACCACACACAAAATACTTTTATATTTTCACAATTTAAATGGAAATAAGTACCTGAATTGTCTTTCCTAGACCCATTTCATCCGCTAATATTACTGAATTTTCTTTGCACCATGAATGAATAAGCCAGTTTAATCCATCTAACTGGTAATCTCTCAATGTTAGCACCTACAAAGTATAATATAATAATTCCACAACAGCAACTTTTTTGCAAAAGAAAAATATAGCAAATAGGAAAAAAGACACAAAAAACCCAAGGAGAAACGATTTACCTGATCACCGCCCATATATTCAGGCTGCGATTTAACTGGTACAAATTTAGGTCGATGTTTCAAGACACGACAATGTTTGGAAGGAGTTCTTTTAGATTCCTCACGCTCTTGAAATTCTTGAATTTTCTTTGGCCATTTCTTTACAATCAACGAGCCATCTTCCCAAGTAGCTTCAGAATATGGTAAGCTTTCCCATTTGATATAGTAATCTGAATTTGATCCTTCTGGTTTCCTAAACTCTGCTGAAAATAAATGCAAATTATAGAGACAAAAAAACCAGGAAAAAAGTAAAAACAAAATAAAAAATGATTCAAACCAACAGAGGGTAAAAATTACCTATTATTCTCTCCACATTATTGTAGCTTTTCAGCAATTCATTTTGCAATTCAAGTTGACATTCGTAATAGTCTATATCCTCTGGAGTGGCAAGTTGTCTCCATATAACTAATTCTTCTTCCCGTTTTATAAAATTTTCTAGTTTCTTCAAACCTTTTACCTGAAAACCAGAACACTAATCATACCGACATGCACGGTACAATTAGGTGTGTATGCAGATTTTATTAGTAGAAGCAAAGCAAAAGTAATGAAGCACAACTACCGCTTTCCCCAGCATATATTAAACCACATTTAAAAACAATTAGTACACCAAGATCAATAGAGGATCCCATCATGCACTACAATCCCAAAAAATCAAACTGAAAAAATTAAAAAACCACATATGCCCTGAAAGATAGCAAACCAGACAGCACAACAATATGGTGGACACACATTTTTATAACATGAAAGTGCACAGAACACAATTCCCAAATTTTTTACTCTTTCATAAACAAAACAAAAATTAAATAAATAAAATATGGGGGGAAAAAAGGGAAAGCTCTTGATCACATATTACTCATTTTAAGAATTGTAAACACAGATAAAGAAGAGGTGACGAAATATTACAATGATCTAACCAAGATGTTAATTGTGATGGCAGAGTTAATACACCACTAGTCCCATGAGATAAACAAAACACACAAAATATGAACATGGGACAAACCTTAATATGTTCGCTTCGTAAACCCACATCTTCCGCTGCTCCAAACGAACGTCTCAATGGGCTCTATTTATATAAGTAAACCAAGTTATAATGTTTGTAACAGGGAAAACGTGTAATTCATATTCAGAAAGCAAGCACTACTTGGTCTTTCCAAGTTGCCATGTAGTACCTACTATACATTATGAAAAAAAGTAATCTATTGACACAAAATATTTCAATTTCCATTAAGACATAGAAATTTTTTTTGTTTGATAAAAGAACATGTGGAAATTGCAAACATTTTTAAGCACCCCAAGCAGTTATTCAGTAAAGGATACACATGCAGGAGACATTACTTATGCTTAATAAGAAATTTTAAAATATCATGAAACAGTGAAAAAAGTTTGTGCTTATCTGCAAAGAAAATTAAATTCTCTTATA